AAATTACTTATAAACGATTTACTATTTTCTTTAATAGTATAATATATTTGGGTGTGGAGGCTGTCATACACAAAGGTACAAAAAGGTAAAGGGGGAGAGAAAAAAGTACTAATACTCTCATACGATTCTTTTCATTCTGAAAAGTTTACTGTACAGGATTAAATCTTGTCTAAATCAGACATTTTTATTGATGTAAGTCACCTGTCCAGTTATGTATTTGGGTGAATCATGCCGTATAATTTGTCCTAAAAAGTAAAATCAGATTCAATAAGTTATGTTCAATACTGATTGAAAAAAAAATGTGACGGACGGGCATGAGGACGGACGGATAGAGATTATCAATAAACCACCCTTCTGAGAATAGAAATTTCAAAATCAAGCAGAATAGAAGTATTTACCCGAGACAAAGTTTATCCGAGACAAAGTCGATTTTCCCCCGCAGATTAACATAATGAGGGGATGGCCTTTTAATTTGTTTCGGAGGCTAAATTTTGCAATGTAACAAATATCGACATGATGTCAAATATTTATCAATAATTCCTAAAAAAAAATATTATGATTAAAAGAACAGGAGCTATACTACAAGCTAAATAGCTCAGATTTAAGAATATTCAAAAGAGAATAACAGTTTTCAAAATGGTTATGTAATTATTCTAGTTTGTTTAAATTGCTGTTGAAAAAATATACTATGATTGATCGGTAACATTTGAATTGACAATGTAAAGAGTTTTGTGGGCTGCTTTTTGTATAGAAGCATACAACTTGAAGGTGTGAGGGTCAATTTGTAATTGCATGTTTAAGTTTTGTAAACGCTAATTCAAAATGTCTTGAATACTGTGTGTCAAAAAAACCCAGGGAAAATTTGTTCACTAGATATTTTCTACGGAGCCCTGTTGGTCTCATACAGATAAAGAGTTGTGGTTTTAAAAAAAAATCCTGGTTTTAGCTACTTTTAAACATAAAGAGGAAGGCACTGAACCACTAAGGAAAAAGTATTACAAAAAATACCGAACTCCAAGGTAAATTCAAAAAGGGGAAGTCCATAAAAACTGACAAAATCAAACGTTATCAACCAGCGGAACGAGTGAAAAACAACTGTCATATTCCTGACTTGGTACAGGCATTTATGTTTTCAGAACATAGTGATAAATATTTAAATAACTTACTTGAAATATGTTTCGAATGAATAGGACATATATTTTTTCATTAATTTAAAGGAGTGAAATTAATCTTGGATAAAACACAAATACTTGACAGCTTTCGACTCTATACTCCACATGCAGATAGACTGAGTTTACGTCTGTATAAAGCAGGAATAACATGTTCAATCTTATATCAATTATCCTCAATCTGTTGGGTTTAGCTAGCTTTAAGATCAAGTTTAATCCACCGTTTTCTACGTAAGGAAATGCCTGTACTGAGTCAGGAATATGACAGTTGTTTTCCATTCGTTTGATGTGTTTGAGCTTTTGATTTTCCGTTTTGAATTTTCCTTGGAGTTCGGTATATTTGTTATTTTACTTTTTAAGATGTTCAATCTTTAGTTTTCCTTGTTGTGACTTATGGTTTGATTTTCGTCTTTCCGTCTTAATACTATATAGACAATGGTAATGTCTATTATAAAGAAATAAGAAGATGTGGCATGAGTGCCAATTAGACAACTCTCCATCCAAGTCCCAATGTGTAAAAAGTAAACAATTATAGGTCAAAGTACGGCCTTCAACACGGAGCCTTGGCTCACACCGAACAGCAAGCCATAAAGGGCCCCAAAAAGACTAGTGTAAAACAATTCAAACAGGAAAACCAACGGTCTAATCATATAAAAAACGAGAAACGAGAAAAACTTATGAAACACATCAACAAACGACAACCACCGAACAACAGGTTCCTGACTTAGAACAGGTGCAAACAGATGATGCGGGTTTAAACATTTAAACAGGCGCAAACGTTCACCCTAACCTAAAATAGTAGTGTAACATTACAACATATAGAAAGACACACTATAAAATATCAATTGAAATGGCTTAACTCAATTAAAAAGACATATTACCAAAAACAAGTGAACATACACTGAACGAATAAATTTGATCTATGACACAATATAAACACAATATTAAATAAAAAAGGGGGAGATGTAAAACAATGTCAAAAAGACAACTATAACCTTGGACAATTATTTTAGTCCCTTCGACATGTTTTTTCCTTCACCTCCTGGTTACTCTGAATGTTATCACTTTTCCAATATGGCTTTATTGCTTTGTCCTTTAAGTCTTTCTAATTACTAGATCGCCACAAGTTCATCCTTTATAAAGTAGATGTGGTATGAATGCTAATGAGAAAACTATCCACCAGAGTTCAAATGAAATGGATGTATGCCACTATAGTCAACCGTATTACCAGCTTTTTTTAAACAAAATTAAATGCTGTTCAACATCCAAGATTTCAGATACATGTGTAGGTACCAGGGGTCACCACTTCCATTGTTCATGATAACATTCAAGTGTTAATTGACAAATGTCAAGTGTAAACGATGAGCTGGCGACCTCATGATTTTTTCTTAGATTTTACTTCCTTCATTTTCCGTGTTTTTTTTCTTAAGTTTGGGATTGGTGACGAACGGACACAACCCCACCCTCATTTTCCGTTATTCTCAAATTTCATATCAAAATAGGTATTTCGGAATAAACATATCAAATATTATATTCTAATGTCCAAAATTAAGGTCAAAGGCCGAACGGAAAATCACAACATAACAGTTTTCCATTCTTCTACAATCCTAAATTGTATAGTTTTTGTCTTAAAATTGGAACACAATATCTGTTACGTATTGATAGAACAAAAGGCGCTATAACAAACCAGTGTTCTAAAACATTGCCTCCATACATATCAACTGAACAGAACATTCATGTCACCACGTTCCAACAGCCATTAAAGGTTTGTACCCTATGAATATCAATGTAGACATGCGTTCGTCCCATATTTTATACTCTAAAACGTCACTAATTACATTTTGTCAGTTTTATCGTTAGAAATATTTTTGTTACATTTGTCATTTCCCTTTTTACAACGATAAAATCTATAAATTCATTCATTGAAAAAAGTAAAAAAATAACAAAAATACCGAACTCCAAGGAAAGTTCAAAACAGAAAGTCCCTTATCCAATGTCAAAATCAAAAGCTCAAACACATCAAACGAATGGAAAACAACTGTCATATTCCTGACTTGAATATATAGCTTTTTTTTAAAATACAGTTTGATAATCGAGCGATTTCCCCCCGTATTCCAATGTAAACGGGTTATTTTCGGTTCAGTATGAAAAAGCACAGAATTTTATTTGCCTTTCTTAATTGTATGAATTTTGTTTGTATTTGCTTTTTTATAACATTTTCTGTTTTATTATTGAAAACTCTTTTAATAAACGTTTAATGCAATATCAGTGCGCGCGGTGCATGTAATGCTTCGGGAATGACCTCCATTAGATACGCTTGGTACCAAAGGTATGGAAAGCCAAACATATAAATGCATGTATACTTGTGGTTTAGAACCGACATATATCTTTTTTCTGCGTTGAAATCTGTACAAATTTATTCCTGACATTGCACAAGATTTTGTGTTCCAATAGTCGTCCTGTATAAAATCTAATCTGGAGTACAGCCACTGATACATTACAATGTAAAATCTAATCTGGAGTACAGCCACTGATATATTACAATGTATGGTGGCATGATTTCCTATCAGCAGGTAAAGTTCTTTGTGGTTGCTTTCAATAACTGCGATTGTTTCTTATGTAGAAATAAGAAGATGTGGCATGAGTGCCAATGAGACAACTCTCCATCTAAGTCACAATGTATAAAAATTAAACAATTATAGGTCAAAGTTGGCCGTCAACACGGAGCCTTGGCTCACACCGAACAGCAAGCTATAAAGGGCCCCAAAATGACTAGTGTAAACCAATTCAAACAGGAAAACCAACGGTCTAATCTATATAAAAAAGCAAGAAATTTTATACAATTACTGCCATTTGAGGAGAGGGTATCCAAAACTGTCAACAAACGATAACTACTGAACAGGCTCCTGACTATGGTTTACTTGTGGCTGTATTTTTGTTACTACATATAGTATCTGCAAATGTGTTATACCGTCATCCTAAAGTTAAGTGCTTTTCTATGCTGATTATATTACACGCTTTACGTAACTTTTGTTATTTCACTTATCGATATTAAGGGCAGAGGGTTGGCATATAAAACAACTGGTTTAACCTTACGACATGTGCGTGTGCCTGTCCCAAGTCAGGAATCACTTTATTGGTTTAGATTGATTGTTGGTGTTTAACGCCACTTTTAGCACTATTTGCTATATCGTGGCGGTCAGTTTTTTATTGGTTTTGGAAGTCTAAGTGCCAGGAGAGAACCACCGACCTCCGGCAAGAAAACAGACAATCCTAGTTAATTTATGATTGGACTCGGAACCACGTGCGAGATTGTATAGACATATGTCAATTATTAACCGTTTCCCCACCTCTATTAAATTTCTTTCAATTTTTGTGTAGTTGGGTTGCTGTCTCAATGGCCTATACCTGCATCTTTAATTCAAACCATACCGCAATGACATCATGCCTCAATGTTTTAAAATGAAAGAACGTTGGAATTTCGCCAGCCAACAAGACCAAACTGACACCGTACAATAATAAGAAAATAGACACTAATACAAGTCGTCCTTGCTGTTAGAGAATATATAGAGTTTCACCAGCCAACAAGACCAAACTGACACCATACAACAATAAGGAAAAAGACATACAACAAACTAACCCTTCCTCGCTGTGTTCAGAATTAGAGAATATTTAGAGTTTCACCAGCTAACAACACGAATTCATTTGTTTTCTACATTAAAAACTAAGCTGGAAATTAATGCTAGGCAACACTAATTCTACATAAATCCCTTCCAAACTTGCACATACAAATACATTTAACAAACAAAACATAGTGAAAACAACACAAAATTAAGTTTTTAACATTTTATTCAGTTTTCGTATAATAACAGAAGGCTCAGGACGGATTCAATTGAGCAGTCTTTGTACAAGCTTTCACAAAGCTCAACTCTAAAAATAGCACTAATTTTCAAAAAAATCTAATTAGGAAGCGGAAAGTAAATACTTTTCATGTTATACGAAATTCGTTAACTTATGCTTTAAAAGAAAAAATAACATACACAAACGTATGGAATTTTGGTCTTATTTTCTTGACGATTTTTTGTCTATTATAATTAGCAAGTAACTTCTACTTCAAGGATTTATGTTTTCAAATGACTAGATAAATATTATCTCCTGGAATAAAATTCCCTTGTCATGGGAGTTATGAATTAATGAAATTAAATATATTTTGAGTGATAAATTTCACATCTATTAAATAAATAGTGAATGGTTTCTCCTATGCCAATCTGGCTTCCTAAATGCACTCCTGTGAAAACTTGTTTACAGGTAACATATATTTTGATTTAGTTTTTGATTTTTAACTATAAATAAGTTTACAACAAAAAATTGCAAAATTAACAAACATTTTCCTGATTCTCGACATAAGTAATTAAACAAAACATTATCAAGTTACAAGTGTCGAGAAGCACGCTCTTCCTTATATCACTTTTCTCCGAAACAGCGGTTACACGAAATCCGAATCGACAACGGAAAACATGTCCTTTATTTCGGAGAATGCAATGCAATCACAGATAAGAGAAAATAGCACCATATAGGAACATTCAAACACAATCTTAATACAATGAATAAAACATACTAATTATGAAGATTTTTCTCTAAACTGAAAAATTCGAAATGTTTTAGAGACAAATACTTATACTTCATCTGTTAGTTCTGTATGAAACAATCTACGATCCGACACACTTAGTTGGGGGTTCCTCGAAGTGAAAAATTTAAATATTAGTAATTTTCGAGCTAACTATTTTCAAGGCAAAATTTATAATGGAACCCCAACATTTCAAACTTGGCACATTTGGAATCATCAACTGGCAATTTATTCCAGCTCATAACATTGAAACGACAACCGGAAGTTGAAATCTTTTGCTGGCGATCCCGCCAATTACATCCTCAAAAGAGAACAAATTCCTTTAAAATTCAAAACGAATATATATTAAAATAATTCTACTGAAAAATTGAAAGAATGTCTATGTTTAGCAGAAAAAACACACTAGTAGAAGTAGATTAACTTGATATTGCTTACAAACTATAGAGAGTTATGCCCCCTAAAACGCAAGTTCGGGGTTATAAGATAAGTCTCACAAGTCTGCTATTGCTTGATATTGCCATATTAAATGAAAAATGAAGTATTGAATACGAAGGTAAAATGAACGAAAGTATAATAAATATTGAAAGACATCATTTCGCCCTTTTCGGGCCACGTCACATGACTCAAAAACTCACATACACACACACGCACAATAGTCTTATTTGTAATCATAACAAGTTACATGAAAGATCATTTCAGGTTTCAGGAAACAGAAGTTTGCCAACTGCCAAATATATATATAACTGTTAGCTTTTATCCATGTTGCTAAATTATCAAAATAACAAATAAATTACGCTAAATCGATATATTTGCATAAAACATATCAAAGTTCGTTGAAAAAGATTCACATACATCTCAACAGTTCATTAACTTTTTGGTTGCTTTGATCATTTTTCTGTTTAGGATATTAGAAATATAATATTTATATGTTATTGATGTTTACAGTAATTAATTATAAGCTAAAGTGCTGTATATAGCAAAAGAACCAAAAATAAACTTCTACTTTAAGTAAATTGCATGACGAATGTAGCAGTTACGTTTGAATATTAAATCGCACGCGTCAATTACAAAAAATGTGGGAATGTATCTAAACGTAAAAAATTCGGGTTTTCTATTTATCTTTGATGTCCAAAACACAATTTTTATCGCAACTACATGTATGCATTGTAGTATAACAATCTAAAGAAATACCGATATCCTGGAATGAAATACTTTCACATTTTTCTGCAATGTATTCAAAAAATGAACCAAAGCGCTCATTTCTTAACAGTGATAAGACCCCCCTTCTTTATTTCATTTAGCCGGTGGACGTAAGGAATACTTCTTGATCCTTAATTCCATGATTTCGAAAGATGATTGGACAACAATGATATCAAATTAAAATCTTGAAGTTTTTATTCTGCTTACAATGTCCAAATCATCCATTTCCTATTATCGTTTAAACCAATGAAGGATTATAAAAGAGATTTAAAAATTTTGTTGCATTGCGGGGGACATTTGAATCTCATATCCCATTATTTAAATAAATATTGTTAATTTTAATCGCAGTATTGTTCAAATAAGTAAGAGATCAAATGGACAGTATGTGATAATTTTGTCTATTTAAAAAAAAAGATAATTCCATGCGGAATTTACCGTGGGGGCGTGCTAGTGAAAAATCTGCATATATAATCAGCGAGATTTATAATTCCCACAAATAAAGATAAATGTTTTTTTTTTTAATTAAGTGAGAGCGAAAATCTAAGATTCTTTAAAACCAAAATTGTTTAAGAGTATTATCTAAATGTAGAAACTTGTATATATTTTTTTTAAATTTATATGTCTCTCATAAATCTGTTAAAAAATATATCTTTTATAATTGTATTGTGTAATTTTATGCATAAGGTGAGACGTACATAAACTATTGAATTTGAAATTTGAATATAAATAAAGGTTCCAAAGAACTTACAAATAAATTAAATTAATCAAATCAGCAGCATGAGGAAACTGCATGTTATTTCTATCGATTTTCAATATTCACAGCAATGTCTGTCATAAAAGCAGAACAGTTTTCAAGGTGACGTGAGACTTCAAGGTGATGTGAGACTTTATACAGAAAAAAAGCCATAAACATTGAACAATGTCGTAAAATATCGGGTGTTGGTATCTCTTTTAAACCGACTGTTGACAAACAATATCTTTCGTTTAAAATCCTGATATGATAAAGCAAAATTACTCGTTCATAATTTACCGTTATTTAAACATCTGAACATAAGGTTGGGACTTTTTCTTGTTTGAAAATAAGACCAACTAACGTAAAGATTTATCAAATACAATATCTGAATACTTTATCGATTTAAAAGGATAGTTATTAAAATTGAAGATTTTTACATCTGTGCGAAATGGGTCAGAAACGGTATTTGAAAATATGAATAGTCCTAAAGATTTTTTCATAAAGTTTACTACTATCTTTCTTATCGATATGTTAATATCAATTTCAAACTCTTGAATTAGTGACAAAAATTAGATGAATGTGCCTACTAGTGATATATAAAAAATTGCATATGTTTAAAACGCTTTTGGGATTCACCTGCATCAGTGCTTAACTTAAACATAAATTCTGAGCGGGCGAATGTATGATTTTTATGATTATATGTAATAGTTTTATGTATGGTATTTTTATTTTAATTAAGAACATAATTTTTCAAACTTTTAAGTCTTCAAATTTTCTTAGTAGATCATTGGCTAATATGTCTGCGATTTCAATATTTTAGAAACCATAAAATTACATTAATATGTTTAAAACTTCACATATTCTGGACATACATGTTTTTGACATTGTTCTATGCTTTAGAGGAAGTTATAAGAAAATGTATGATTATAATCGTTATGCCAAAGGTTATTGTACATATTTCTTATTTTCTTATTTCTTATTCCTTGTGCCTGTTTTACTATTTAACCATTCGCTCACCATACGTACATATCACAGAAAAGCATGTAAATGTATATATATATATATCTGTTCCAATCTGTTGCGATGCCAGCACAACAAGAAACAATTGATAACAAAAGTACAACAATTAACGTTATAAATGCGTCAAACTTACACTGTATATAATACAAAAAAAAAGAACACACTTCCGAATGGCTATGATTCCGAATATACAATATGAATAGCTGTGTCAGTTTGCACCGGTGTTTCGGCGTACTCTATTAAAGGATCTGGAGGAATTTCGACTTCCTCTTTTTCAACCCCAATCAGCCATTCGATAATCATCTGGTCTTTTCCAGATTCTGAGTCCGTATCATCATCATCCTCATCGTCTTGATTTTCTTGTTTATTTCTCACAATACTATTTAACTGCACCGTTGAAGAGTACCGCCTCATACCGTTCACATTTCCAGAATTGTATTTGTTATTATTCTGAGTCAAATTTTGTGTTTTCTCTATAGAAATTAATTTTTTGTTTTGTCCGAGTTTATTGTCTGAATAATTTCTTTTCATCGTTGGTTTTCCTTTACTTCCCATAAAATTTTCAATTGGTTGAATTCTTGGTTCACTTGCACAATGATAAAATTTACTTTGTACAGATTTTGTGTTGTTATTGCCACTAGATGTTGACATATCTTTAGAAGGCAATCGAGTAGTCCGAAAACCATTCGTCACTACTGAACGTGGTGTTCCAACGGAAATTCCATTTTTCTGCTTAATAGCATCCAATTTAATTCCCTCCGGAATTGTAGTCGTTGTCTGTTCCGGAGTTGTAATATATAATTTCGACCGTGAAGCATTTGCTGAATTCCGTGCAGACGATGAAGACGAACCGGCACTAAGAGGGGAACGTCTTATATGAACTCCTTTCTGCGAAGAGTCACTATTGTTACTCATTTTATTACTTCGAGTTCTGAAATATTCATTACCGTTTCCCATGTTGATTTGAGTGTTAGAATATTTCCTTGAATCTAAAATTGGTGGTAGTTCAGGAGCGCTCATTCTTCGGAAACTATCATAAGTTTTTGTATTTAAGCATTCCTCTTGAATTGTTCCTATATCATATGAAATGGCACTTGCTCTTCTAATCCTGGGATTTGCTGATCGATAGCGTTTTATGTTAAGACCATTTTGATTTTGCTGTTGACTGCTGAACGTTTTATTTGAAACTGATTGTAAAGGGTCTGCAAATCTTTTATCAGACTTCATTGCGCATGTGTAAATTTGTCAAAAGTCTCATTAAATGTCCTTCTTTTGTAACAATATATAAAGGTAGATATATATGAAAAATGGTTGGTTCAATCGATCTATTGAAATCCTTTTAAATGGTTAAATGTTCAGTTATAATTATATTTGTTCATGAACTTTAAACATGATATTTTCTGACGTCAGAAATTCCACTGCCCCATTTGCAAGGTCAATTATAAGAAAATGATTAAGATTTTTTTTAAAGACCAGTAGATTTATCAGTTTAATAGGTACAATTTAATTTCTGCAATGCAATCCTACGCTTGGAGGATGAGTCTTTCCTGTTTCTTTTCAGTATGAAAGCTGTTTCTTCTGGTGAAAGATTAGTTGGGGTTTTTGTCTTTTTTTCAGCAATGACCATCTATCTGCAAAAAAACACACATTAAATACATGATAATCTGGTGTTGTCAACATAAATAAATGAATAAATAAACACAGGTAATCTGTATACAATTATAAATATAAATGTAACTCAACTCATTGATTTTTACCTTTCTATTTACCATAACGGAATTTGTTGTTGTTTTGAAATTTTGCAATAAAGAACTATTAGAAATTATACCCGGACTCATTGATTTCTACCTTTCTCATTGGCATTACGGAATTTAAATAGAAACAACTGTCAAATTACTGTTGATTGAAATTATGCAATAAAGAACAATAGGAAATTATACACCTAGACTAAAAAGTAATAATTTAAAGGTTACGTGTTAATTGGTGTATTTAATCAGCAATCAAAGTTATGTTATAAAAAGGAGTGGATAAAATTGTATGCAAATTTTGAATTGCGGGTCTTTTAAACACTATCGAACATCTCACAAAAACAAATTAATTTCCGTATTGCAAAACTTTTGTATGGTTAACTAAATAGTTTATCTTTGATCATACTTATTGTGACGTAATCATCGTTCTTTCTTTACTTGTTAAACTCCAGAAAGTAGCTTGTTGAAATAGAAAAATATTTTTTAATTGTTACAACACTGAGAGACTAAGGACTTGAGAACTCTGAAAATGATGAACAGCGTTTCATATACATACTTTAAAAAAAATCATATTGTAGGCTAGTCTAGGAAATTTATTTCTATTTCAAACATCTATAATTTATTGATACATATTTTGCAGATAATTGCTCATAATACAATTTAGTAAAAAAAAAAAAAAACGTTTTTTTGTTTCTTGCAGCGAGAAGAAAGAATAATTATGATGTTTAAATTCAGGACATAAAACTGTATATGAAATTAGCAGAAGCCAAACCAAAGGCTGTTCTTCATCTCAAAATCACAAGGGGGGGGGGGGGGGGGGGTTAACAAGGAGCAAAGACTCGCATTTCACTGCAAGTTCAAGTTATCTTTAAAAAAAAACATTATGACTGTAAAATATGAAATCATACACCTAGGCAATTCAAGTAAAGCAGAAAGATGCAATGGTTTCGACACCATAGCCAACATAGCCCGCTACATTCTATATATGCCTGTCACAAGTCAGGAGCCTTTATTTTTTACTACAGTTAGATTTAAGCAGTGTTTTAGCCTCGCTTTGGCCTTTTTATTAAGTCACCAGATTTATATAGCATCAAAATAAATTTTTTATCTTTGGCTTTCCAGATTTCGGCTCCGAGTGTTCCCAACTAATTTGTTATATAGAAAGGCACAGGCAATCGCTTTATACTATACAAATTTAATTATCGTATACTAGTATATATCTGAAAATATGTACAGTGTAAATTATAAAGCAGAAATAACTTACACCCCAGGAGCAAACGAAGTATCCCCTTATTTTGGTGGGGTTCCTTTTGCTTTATAAGTTAGCTATCCGTGTAAAGTTTAGGATTATATTTTTTCTTTCTGTTTTTCTTTTACTATTTGAAAAAATGTTGTCAGTCTAAATTTGCTATGGATACCCCTCCTTTGTATCCTCTAAAAATTTTCTCTTCCCCGAAGATTTTTTTTCTCAATCAAAGGCAGATAAATCTAGCTGTAAAATAAATACCGTATAATTTATACTTTACCTTAATGTTAAAGGTACCGTACTTCCAAGCTATATCAAATAACGATAAATATATCCAGACAAAATATGTTCATTTAAAATTTTGAAAATCTAAATAAATATATCAAGAACAAAAACTAGGCCTCTGAACCTACGTAAAGTTACCGGTAAAGTGAAATTTAAAAAAAGAAAAAGAAAAAGTATAAATGTATTTGATTAACGATAAGTAAACCTGCCACTCCATATCAACACCCCATATGCATGTGTAAATAATGAATTTGTTCTCCTCAAGTGTGAGGCTCAAAATGGGAGATAACTTAAAAGAAAGAAAATACATCTTTTGTACGGTTCAAATGCTAAAACCAAGGAGGTTTTTTTGCTATTTCATTTTAAATAGTATTAATATTAGTTTCTGTCTCATTTATATTAAGGGGTCTTGGTGACCGTGTGGTCTAAGTAGTCCATTTAAGTAACAGATAACCATGCAGACATATTGACTGTATTAATTATAGTCTGTACTAATTGCTTTGTAATAGAATTATCATATTTAAACTTAATGCTACTGGCAAGGTGCGTTCGACTCCGATCTTAATTGACCAGGATTGCCATTTTTCTTACTAGGGTCGATTGTTCTCTCCGGGTACTCCTGCTCCCACCACCAACAAAACCTGGAAGTAATTATGTGGCCAAGTCTTTTGAAAGTGGCGTTAAGCACTAACAATCAATCGATCATATATATTAAGTTTGAAGTTCAACTTCTATGACTTAAAAGTGGCGTTAAAACACCAAAAAATCAAAAATCAAATCAAAATCAACTTCTATCTAGCCTTGATCGTTTTCATTTTCCCAGAATAGTAATTTTAAATATGCCCTTAATTTCAAATATAACAGCAATGTATTGGTATACGTTTTTATCGACTGTCAACTTTCCTATGACATTGCCTTTATCAAAAATTCTTATATTTCATGTTGGCACTAATAATATAAAAGACCCAGCAGGTTCCTCTATACATACTGGGAAATTAGCCAATCACTCAGACACAGTGAACATAGAAAACTGCATTACTTAAACACTGAATTCTATATCAAAGCAAATCCAAATCGATTCCAGGTGATCGTGTATATATATAGGGGTTTAACTAATATTTAATCTAGTATTGACAAATTTGTATATTTCGACAGGTTTCAAGATAAAACCACGGGGTTAATAGAGTCTGTTGAACTAAATTAGGACACGCGTAAGTGCAGGTATATTTTAAGACAATTTATCTTGTAGTGACTAATAGGCATAAGTATTTCCATTATAGCATATTAGAAATGTATATTGAATTGTTTGATTCTTATTCTGGATACCTATTTATATTTAGTCATGTCGTTAAATGGTATTACAGCAGGGTGCAATTATGAGGGTAGGAATGGGTACCCAACATAACGAAAGACTGTAAAATATTTGTTAAAAAACAACGTTAACGATAAACATTTTACTCCATTTGACGTAAACGGTAGCTATAAAATGAGACTTGACGAATGACGATAAAAAAAATAAGGCTCGTTTGACGCTAACGGTAGCTTTGACGCTTGACGATAAAGGGCATTTTTACCCTCATTTAATACCTAAGATAGTGAACGCAAAACGTATTAGAGTGAATATAATGCATGTCGGCAGATCGAACAGGATACATAAATTAAACAGCCGTGTTGACAAAATGCGATATGGGGTAGACGTAAATGCGATCGTGGCAGCAACCCAAAGTCAACGACTAAAAAGGGATATTTAAAGGACTTCTGTATTTAAATCTTTCCTATTAGAGTGCAATGTGTGTCAACAGATCGAGCAGGATACTTGAATTAAAGCTGTGTTAATGAAATGAGATGCGGGGTATACGTCGATTCGACAGCAATCCATGGCCAACGAAAAAAAACCCCAACATATCTAGTACAAAGAGATCATTTGTAATTTCACTATTGATTTTCATAAAAGAGACATATGCTTTTTATCTTCTAAAGGATTTTACAACAATGGAAACAAATTATAAGCCATTCATCTTCTTAATTTTTTACACTTTTCATATTTAAGGCAGGATGAGATTATTTGCAAAAAAAAAAAAAAGGCAGGATGACAATTTATGTAAAAAAAAAAGTCATGATAAACTAAAAAAAAAAGGCAGGACCGAATAGAGTGAAAAATAAAAAGGCAGGACCGAATAGAGGGAAAAATAAAAAGGCAGGACAACATTTTTCATCCTAGCCCCCCCCCCCCCCCCCCCCCATAAAAATCAAATGGTAGCTCCCTTATCCTCTGCGTTTTTCTTGACTGATCTTGACTGTGTTTTTTTTTTTTTAGAGCATCTGCCGTACAAAATTTAAAGTCTGGTATCTACGATGAGTTTATTTTTAGTCAGTTTATCCTGCCATATGTGAATTGGGTACCATTGAAATATTATTACTCTTGAAATCTTGAAATCTTGGTACCATTGACAAACATGGTAACATAGCTAATTGTCTCTGCGTTTGTATGTAATTGAAATTTAATTATCTCATTAAATATCTTGAAATCTTGAAATCTTAGCTCCATGGACAAATTTGGTAACATCGCTAATGTGCACAGGGTTTAAATGTCTTTGAAATTTAATTATCTCATTAAATATTAAATCAAAACAAGATTGTACTCTTGTACACCTCCAATTCTAAGAACGAACAAATCTTATTCTTATCTCAAATATATGAACTGATTTCCTGGTAAGAAGAAAACTATGACACTTAAGAAAAAGTTACGACTCTTAAGTTGAAAAATGTGACACTTTAAAAATGTAACGCGATTTTTATAAACCCTCCAAACAAATAATGTTGACAATAAGTCATAAAGTACCAATATAGTCACATAAACATTTCTCGCTGCAGTAGGTTTTAAAAGACAAATTGAAATATACGAATATTATAAAGCCTTTATGTGATATATATTATCAAAAGAAATTCCAAAAATAACCCTTCAAAGAAGATACTTATATAGCACTTGTTTAGGTTATGTTCGAAAAGTTAGATCATTTATAAACATAGCTTTGTGTAGTCAATAACATACCATATTTCCATAGCAAATAGACGAGGAGATGACACACTGTTTAGGATGTGAGAAAAGGAGTTAAAAAAATGTGGGGATGTGGGATATAGGGGTTAAACAAGAATGTGTCCATAGTACCCGGATGCCCCACTCGCACTATCATTTTCTATGTTCAGTGGACCGTGAAATTGTGGTCAAAACTCTAATTTGGCATTAAAATTAAAAAGATCATATCACAGGGAACATGTGTACTAAGTTTCAAGTTGATTGGACTTCAACTTCATCAAAAACTACCTTGACCAAAAACTTTAACCTGAATCGGGACAGACGGACGGACGAACGAACGGACGAACGAACGGACGCACAGACCGAAAAGCATAATGCCCCTCAACTATCGTAGGTGGGGCATAAAAAGTGGGGATGTGGGATATATATAGGAGTATAATAAGAGGACTGGGAAAAAGAAAGATTAAAAAGTGGGAGCAGGAAAAATTAAAAAAAAGCCAGATTTGGGAAATGAATATCCCCCATACCACCACCTCATTTCATTTAAATTCAATGCAAGTAGCAAACGAAAATGTATTTTGATTTTTTTCTGTCGTTCGGTTGCTGTCTCATTGACATATGCCTCAAATCTTTTTATTCATATTTGGATTGAATTTTTGTGGTTCGCTTATGGAATGCAAGGTTATTATATCAAATTACATTAATACTTTTTGTATGTTCGCTTATGGAATGCGAGGTTATTATATCAAATTACATTAATACTTTTTGTATGTTCGCTTATGGAATGCAAGGTTATTATATCAAATTACATTAATACTTTTTGTATGTTCGTTTATGGAATGGGAGGATATTTCATCTTATTACACTTATACTTTTTATATTCACCAATTGAGCTGCAATCGAGTATGGCTCAACATAACATTATTTCTAGTAATCTGCAAGCATTCAATATTTTACTAAGGTTTATACATATCAAATCTGTATGCCTTGAATATGTTGCTGAACTTTATCTATTTGAACATCTAGTATATATCTGCATGCCTTCAATGTTTTACCGAGCATTATACATATTAACATATAAATATGAAAATAAGGAGATGTGGTATGATTGCCAATGTGACTACTATTCGCCAAAGCTCAAATTAAGTGGATGTAAGCATTTATAGGCAACCGTACGGCCTTCAACAATGAGAAAATCCCATACCGTATATATAGTCAGCTATAAAAGTCCCTACATGAAAAATACGAATCAATTCAATTGAGAAAACTAACGGCATAATTTATAACAAAACAATTTACGAAAAACAAATATGACAGACATGAACTAACGACAACCACTGAACTACAGGCTTCTGACTTGGGGCAGACATAGAAAGACATTAATGTCTTTGATCTTCAAATCGAACAAATGATAAATATACCTTATACAATTTAAGATAATTAAAAAATGCTGACTCGATTGAAAATGAATACAACTTTGATTGATTTTTTAGTGAAGTGTATTAATAATTCAAGGTTTATGGTATACAATCTATGTAACAGTACACTTCAGCATTTATCATCGAAAGTTATAGATGCTGAAGATAACGGTGGTACCGTAGACAAAAGGGAAAAAATTCCTGACAAGGTCGATAATTCTGCAGTTATACTTGGTCCATTTATTTTTAAAAATTAGCAATAGACGTAAAGATCGCTAAAGAACATTTAATACGTTCATAGAAGACATCTGGTGCAAATTTTACATATTTTTATAAACAATTAATTTTATAGCAAAACGGCTTTTTCCTTTATTTGAAAAAATGTTGGAAGGCAGAATATATTTCAGAAAGCAATAAAAAGCAATGTAATGCCAAGAGGATTGTAGACCATATCCAACATGCATTCTTTTTTCAGTTACTGGCAAAATTCCTCGCTCTTCATCCTGATAGCCCTTCGTTTTATAAAGTACATGATTAATGTATACTTTGTTTCTCGTCAAAAATACATATATGTGCATGGACTATTAGTTACACTGGACTGTAAACAACCAAATATAAATTAGGCCGTTAGTTTTCTCAATTGCATTGTTTCATATTTTTCATTTCAGGGCCTTTTATAGCCGACCATACGATATGGGTTTTTGTCATTGTTGAAGGCCGTACGGTTGCCTATAATTGCTTGCATCCACTTTATTTGAACTTTGGTGGATAGTTGTCTCATTGGCAATCATACTACATCTACTTATTTTTATAAAGACCAACAAAGCAACCCTCTGCAGAGTATCTGGTAGTTTGTACACCACATTTACTTATATAATGAGAGAATAATTATTCACCGTAGTATAGATTTTTTTATCACACATTCATATAGAAATGTATAGAACCAAAAGTCGTACCTTACATATATATATGGAACAGACTTAAAAGCATAAAGGTGTCTGTAATTCATTTGTTGTCGTTGGTTGCTAGATATAAGAAGATGTGGCATGAGTGCCAATGAGACAACTCTCCATCCAAGTCAAAATTTATAAAAGTAAACCATTATAGGTCACAGTACGGTCTTCAACACGGAGCCTTGGCTCACACCGAACAGCAAGCTATAAAGGGCCCCAAAAAATTACTAGTGTAAAACCATTCAAACGGGAAAACCAACGGTCTAATCTATATAAAAAACGAGAAACGAGAAACACTTATGAACCACATCAACAAACGACAACCACTGAACATCAGATTCCTGACTTAGGACAGGTGCAAACAAATAAAGCGGGTTTAAACGTTTTCATGGTACCAAACCTTCACCCTTTTTCCGAAACAATAGTGTAACATCACAACATAGCTGTCTGTTATTTTGTTTTTTCGTTTATTGCTTTGTCATAAATCAGGCCGTTGGTTTTTCCGTTTGAAATTGTTTCACATTTTCTCATGTCGGAACCGTTTAAAGCTTACTCCATTATGGGGGTATCTGATCATTGTCGAAGGCCGTACGGTAACATATAGATCCTTACACCCACATAACTTGGACTCTGATGGATTGTTGCCTCATTGGCAAAAATACCACAGGCACAATTCCTTCTTTTATATTCATCAAGTAGGTCCAAGATCGAAAAAAATGGAATACAAATGCATAAAATGGTTCACAGCTAAGTTATTTACTCCTGTATAAATCGAGACTGTTTACTACAAAGTACTCGTGTAAGCCTACACTAAAATGTTCTTGTCATTATGTCTAAAATACGAATTTTTTAAATTCAAGATTCAAATTTTAGTTTGCACGCAAAAATCTATAAATAGACATTTGTGTTGAAAATTTAAAAGCTGATTTCCATTACAGTTATTTATAAGTACATATACTGCACCATACGATGTTATCAAACATAAAACAAAGACATACATATTACACAGGTTGCGTGTTCAGAAAAAAAGTTGTGGTTGTCGCATAAAGCTCCATGTATTTCTAATATTATTTTTCGCTTATGACAATATCTGATAATGTGCGACCTTCATGGGGGTCTTGATAGGGTTTACAGAATAGAGAATAATGGGCAAAATGTGCAGAATAAAGGGCTAGAAAAATAAAGAATATATAAAAGTAGGTAAAAAAATAAAGAATAGAGAATAATGGGTTGCTGAAATATAAAGAATAGTGAATAAGGATCAAAATAAATAAAGAATAGAGAAAAATTGTCTAAAAATTAAAGAATAAAGAAAGAAATAAAGAACCCCTCCTTTTCCAGACCCTCCTTCATGCATTACAGGATTAAATAAAAAGTAATATTTAACAAAGTGGGGATTTATAAATTGAATTTGGAAGTATTATCTTCATAAAAAATCTTTAAACAAACATGGTGACATACTCTTGATAAGTATTAAAAAGAACAGATACCATTGTTGTCCCAATACCGTATACGATGTGTGTCCGCCATAGCTTAATATGATGTGGAAAAAACTAAAAAAAAAAACACCTTACCATTCTATTATAAATCATGTATTGCTATCGTTTATCTTAAATATAGTTCCATTTTTCCATTTCCTTATACACGCTGAAATAGTACAAAAAACTTTTACAATGAAAATTCTAAAATGTTCTGGATATCTGAACTGAACTTCTAAAATAAGAAAGAGCCATTTACACTTAACTTAAAGCCTCGGTCGATATAGAATGTAAAGAAAAAAATGTAACAATCTGTTTTACAAGGGAAGCGACTGTTGAAATGTCGGGAATTAGGATTATAGCATTGAGTCTAAATCAACAGTATAACATTGGTTTATTTTTACAGGACTTTATTTAATACAACACGTCAAACAATAATATTTTCATTTACGGTAAGAAAAACCTGAAGCTACAAGTTATGATATATATAATACTGTAATCTGATCTAATATTTAGTAAAAATAATACGAATCTTGTAATTTATCTGGACCTAGTTTGTGTCTACAAAAATTAAATACCATGAAAATTGAAAGTGAATTGAAACTATTTTATTTGCAAACTTTTATTGACAAGGGACGATTTAGAGTTTCCATTCTCAATTTTATTTCTCATATAGACACATGTCTGTTGTTGAAGGCTTTGTTGTTGCAATGTCATTTTGGTATTTTTGTCGTTGGGTTGCTGTCTCATTGACCTATACTCCACATCTCATGTTATTATGTTATTAATCAGGCAAATAGACAGATGAGGCAACAATTCTTTTAAGTCCCTTATGAGTCATGACATACGAAAAAACATTTTAAAGAACACTGGTTTAAGAAAACTGAAAGGATCTGCTACAATGGTATCAAAATGACATTAGTCTCAATAAAAGATGTTTTAAAAATTTCAATATTTTAAATATAATCTTCACATTTACAGCTCAGATACCAGTATTTTGACGTATATCAGTATTTTTAACATGCTTATCATGAAAAACTCTGAACCGATACCTTGCAGTTTTGCAAAAATTTTTAAAAAAGCAAGGCAATCAGGCAAATTTGAAAGAATAAAAGTAAAAATCTGCACAGTTTTGCAATCTGTCAACAGTGAACTTCCAAAAAAATACACATACAATTATTCTTATCAATATAGGTATATAAAATATCCAATGCTGTAAAACATAAATATGCCCATGTTTGCAATCTATAAACTCTGAACCCCCAAAAAAGTAGAAATACAATTATTCTCACCATTTTAGGTATACAATTATCCAATGCTGTAAAAGTCCTTTATCAATCCAAGTAAAAACTAACCGTTACTTAAATCTAAATGCATCACACTATCATGTTTAATAGATATTATTTAAACACCTTTAACTCACAATAAGATATTTATAGTGATAGAAAACGACTGTTTAAATTACCTTTCTATACATCCCTTTTATATCGACTTCCTGAATTAGTTACAATATGAAAGAAAACTTTATTACAGAAATAAAAGTTCAGTCAGCCAATCAGCGCCTTGATTACTAAATAAGCTTTAGCCACTTGACTGGAGTGTGATTTTTAGCTTGGAGGGTGATAACATCTATTGATACTGTTATTGATGACGATAAAAACTGCATACATTAACTATATATAAGTTATTAACGTCTATATTTAGGATATTTTATGCAGAATATTTCCGGTTTATGACAGTGCTTCGTTGAAACATGATCTGGAGGTCTATAATGGATCAGATACATTAAAACGTGATTAAATTGGGATTATTTTCGTACATATTTTGATAAAACGAAACTTATGAATGAAAAACAATAGGTCCTTGAACTCTTCCAGGGGCGTACCACCAGTGTAGCATTGTAAGCCATGTGCTTACAAATAATTTTATAAAACATTTTTTTTCATTAAGAATTTTACTATAATCGTTCAGTGTTTGGGGGCTGTCGCCCCCTGACTCCCTGTTTACTGTCTGCCCTGTCCCATAAAAAGTATTCATGTCTTTCCCCCAGAATAGGTTGAAGTAAAAAGATCATCAAAGAGTTGATGCGCAGATTTGTAGAATAATAATGCAATGAGAAAAAAACACAATTAAATGCACTTATTTGTGACATTTGAAACAGCAAACTAAATGTCGCTACAACATTCTCTCACATTTTTTCTACCTTTACTGATTAATTGGATAACTGAAATAGCAGAATGAAGAAGTTTAACGATTTCATTTTCAAAGCAGTTGGCTTCAAATATTCAGCACTCAAAAGGATAGCGATATAAATAAATCTGTATAATTTACATGTGTTTACCTAAATTTACCCGTGTTTACTGGTAAAATGAATGTGCGCAAATGTAATTAAAAGCTGCGCGCAATCGTAATGATTTTTACGCGCAAATGCAATGTTAATGCGCGCAAATGTAATGCACCGGATAAATTGTTCCGTTTCAAATTTGCATTACTCTAATTTTAAACTAATTCTTATTATAACGAAACCATGTGATTTTCAATATCTGTCCATTCTCTGAATTTATGTCAAGTACAAGAAAACCAGTTCTGGATAAGAATCCTTTTTAAATGTTTTGTAATATATTTGAAATATAAACTTTTTTATAGGCACATGTATCAGATATTAGGAATAAATAGATGAGTGTCCAATATTTCTGTTTTTTTCAATTTTTTTATGACATTTTTCACTATTCTTTATATGGTTTGGCCATTATTCTCTATTCTTAATGTTTTAGCACCCCATTGTTCTATAATCTTTATATTCTAGCACCCCATTGTTCTATAATCTTTAACTTTTTGTCTATTTTTCTGTATAAACATTTTTTGCCCATTATTCTGCACCTTTTTCACATTATTCTCTATTCTGTAAACCTCATGCAGTTGTTAACAATTTTGAAAATGATTTTAAGATGGAATACACGTGATTTTACAAATAAGGGAGATATTATCAGTTTGACTGTCTGACTTTCAGAAATTTAATTGAATTTAAAATTTTGCTAGGTTACAATTTCATAATAGAAACGATATTATTGAATCGATTAAAGCACTAAAAGAATTAACAATAGAAGATAATGGCTGAGGGATTAAAGACTTGTTTGTAATATGTAATTCTTATATAATGAATAGAAATAATTTGACAATAATACCTTACATGTGTGTATCCACGTGTATTTGTTTATATCTATCATTGGTTTAATAATAATAATACCTTATTCACATGTACATCTGCGTGTATTTGTTTATATTACACGTGGTGTAGCATTATTCTTTTTTCATTGGTTATAACGATCACATGATTCAAAGGGTATTTAAGTATAGGGACGCCATGTTTCTATTAAAGCCGACCGTGCAAGGGCTGTATAGCCAGTCAAGGTCGTTAAAAACTTCCATTTGTTTCTATTAAAACATACATATGTATATATAGACGGTCATTATTAAAAATCTTGCAAAAAACAATGTAAAATACTCAGTCCATAATACATTTTTTGCATATGTAATATATGAATTAAGGACTTTCACTCAGTCGATACGTTATATATGGGCCTATTAGATTCTCGGACTTTATCCTCGGTCAATATAATTTTAACAGTTCCATATATTACGTATTGACGGCGTCAAAAGTCAATAATTGATAAAGATTTACCATTGGTCCAAATTGGACCTTTAGCTTATGTTACACTCTGGTTTTTAAGTTGTAACTTGTGTTGCGCGAATTTCAAAATGCGGGAATAAATTTCTTTGTTTATTTAATAATAGAATAATTTGTATAGAATACATATTTTGTATTCACTCATTTGTATACTGTCTGTTTCTGTTTTGTCTTTGTAGATAATTCAACATGACAGTGGTTAGTGCAGATGTCACATGTGACGTGCTATTTATTTATTGTGTTAATAAATTAAGTAAAGTTAGATAACACCTAGCGAGCTTATCCTATAATTATATGATATTCTAGACTAAGCATTAAATATCAAATGTTCGTTTGAGAAATGAATAACATAGGCGGATCCAGGGGGGGGGGGCCCGAGCCCCCCTTTCGTGGGAAAAATTTGGTTGATTATGAAGGGAATCACTGAAGCGTGACTGGAGCGGGGCCCCCCTTACGAAAAGTTCTGGATCCGCCACTGAATAAGAACATAATTTGAATTTGTGTGTAGTTAAAGCTAGTGTTCTCAGGCAAGTGACTAGATCGAATACATCGTCTATCGTTGACACACCCACCTCTGCAACCGGTCGTGTGGCATCTCCTTATCATCGTCTATCGTTGGCACGCCCACCTCTCCAACCGGTCGTGTGGCATCTCCTTATCATCGTCTATCATTGGCACGCCCACCTCTGCAACCGATCGTGTGGCATCTCCTTATCAGCATCTATCGTTGGCACGCCCACCTCTGCAACCGGTCGTGTGGCATCTCCTTATCATCGTCTATCGTTGGCACGCTCACCTTTGCAACAGGTCGTGTGGCATCTCATTATCATCGTCTATCGTTGGCACGCCCACCTCTGCAACCGGTCGTGTGGCATCTCCTTATCATCGTCTATCGTTGGCACGCCCACCTCTGCAACCGGTCGTGTGGCATCTCCTTATCATCGTCTATCGTTGGCACGCCCACCTCTGCAACCGATCGTGTGGCATCTCCTTATCATCGTCTATCGTTGGCACGCCCACCTCTGCAACCGGTCGTGTGGCATCTCCTTATCATCGTCTATCGTTGGCACGCCCACCTCTGCAACCGGTCGTGTGGCATCTCCTTATCATCGTCTATCGTTGGTACGCTCACCTCTGCAACCGATCGTGTGGCATCTCCTTATTATCGTCTATCGTTGGCACGCCCACCTCTGCAACCGATCGTGTGGCATCTCCTTATCATCGTCTATCGTTGGCACGCCCACCTCTGCAACCGGTCGTGTGGCACTTCCTTATCATCGTCATTCCAGTAAACCAATCTCCCAGTCACAAATCTCAAATTTCGACTCCAAAAAGATGGGGACTTAGTCTAGGTATTTAGGTGCAACAGAAATTTTAGTACCTGATCAGTCTAAGTATGACATCTTCCACATTTGAGCTCATCAGTCAAAACATTATTTGTTTGAAATGTCTAATAGAACATAAAAGAGAGGCGAAAGATACCAAAGGGACATTCAAACTCATAAATCGAAAATAAACCGACAACACCATGGCAAAAAAAAAAGAAGAAAAAGACAAACAAACATTGTCAATTTCTAGATGTAAGTCAAGATATGAGGCTGACTGAATTGTATCTGTTGTATCCTTTATCTCAAGTTCGATGGGATAGATGCGTTCAACATAGTCTGCAAATTTAGAATTATTTAGTGAAAGAACATCATCTTTATAGCGGAAAGTGAAGTTAAAGAATACGGCTAACTTCTTTTCTTTCTTCCTAAGAAGTTCCTGTATGAAGTCAGCTTCATTTGAATAAAGGAACAAGTCGGTAAGAAGAGGAATGGTTCTCATTAGAATGCCGATCGTTTGTTGAAAATCACGCCCTCCAAACGTAACAAATATGTTGTCAATAAAAAAATCCGGCATCTTGATAATGTCAGTTTCAGATAATGTTTTGTTTGAAACAGAGTGAAAAAAAGTACGATTTATCCCTCCCGAAGACAAAATATTTGTTTCTAAATTGGCCATTCTTTTTTATGAAACAAAGCAAGACCAACGCTTTCAATTTGTCTTTTAGTTTGGAATGGCGAATAAATGATACTTTACACTTTAAACAGTGGGGCTTCAGCAAAGTACTCCCTCAGATCACAAGATCACGTTTCATAAATTGCCTCAGGTCACCAGCTCACTTTTAAGCAAATTTGAAAGCAACGGCAATCAACAAAATAAAAAATAGTAAAACATTTTCAAAGGTCACAAGTCTTTTTGAATAATGTCATGTCGCAAGGTCGCAAGGTCGTCAGGTCACCCGCCAAACCTCCGAATATTACAGGTCGTATTGTGCCATGTTGAGGCCACAACAATATCATACTGTCAACATTTCAAAAGTCATTAGCGTAGATAAGTCTTTTAGAAAAAGTACGCTGCACAATCCTTAACCTTAAAAAGATCGTAGTAAGTGATTTTATAACTATCTACTCGCTGACAGGAATATTACTATATGTTAATGAGAGAGTTTGGAAATAGTTGCCGTTTCGATGTGGAGGTTGAAAAAGTCCTATCACGTGACATTTTTCTATGCATATGCCTAGTTTTTCACACAGGCAAATTAAGCAAATGGAAAGATTTTAATAGATTTTCATTTTAAATATTCTTCATCACTTTCTTTCTTTCTTTTTTTGCCCCTTTGACCTTGTGAATTATTACTGTGAGTTTGCGGATCCAAACATAGGAAATTATCATGTGACTAGTGTGTGGAAAATGAGATCGGATCCGGCAAAAAGTTACATCT